GGAATAAGGACAGAATTCTGGGTCCATTTTGTTCAGCGATGGCTCCCAGGTGCTCAGAACGGGGGCTGGCCAGCGGTGACTCAGAGAAACTCCAGCCTCCCTCCCATTAGTGTGCAGCCCCCGCAGACAGCATGGGCTTTACCTTCGTTAATGGTTTTTAAAAATCAAAAGGAGAATAATATTGCATGACATGTGAAACATGAAATTTCATGTCTTCAAGTGAAGTGCTATTGTCCCACAGCCACGCCCACTCATTGATGGGTTGTCTATGGCTGTTTTTGTGCCACAAAAGAAGAGGGGAGTGGTTTCAACTTGCCTCACCCCCCACCCCTCAAGCCAAAAATTAGTACTATTTGGCCTTTTACAAGAGGGCAGGGGGTGAGGGGGGGGGGAAGGGGGGGGGAAATGCAGGCCCAGGCCTAGAACAAGACCTCTCAACTTGTTTTAAAGGCAGATACATTAATATTTAACCCTCACAAATTTCTTTTTGGAAAGGAAGTCTAGTCTATGTAAATCTCTGAGAACAATCACCAGCTCATATCCTGGCATAGAGGCTCACGGCAGAAGCAGACACCCTGGATGAGAAACGGAAGCCAAGGCCCCATTACCTGGACTCAGATGGGCTCCGCCTGCCACCAACTGTGCGACCATCAGCAAAATGCTTATCTTCTCTGTGCATTCCTCTCCTCCCTATAAAATGAGGCTAATGATGGCACCCATCACTTAGGGCTATGATGAGCATTACATCAATTAACGTGGTAGGAAGGAGCTGTTATAAATAAACATATTTTTTACTGCATGTTTATGATGGCAAGAGAATGGAGATACTTAGAAAGTAGCTAAGATCATAAGTAAACCTCATCATGTTTCTGAATATGGGAAAAAAGATAAGCAGGAATTAGAACGTGGACATGCGCCCTTTTGTCGGGATGTACTCTAAGCCAATGACATGCGTTAATATCTCCTCTAATTGCTTTTTGATTGGAGGATGTAACTATTTGTCTCCCAAACCAGGGGCATAATTTTGCAATCAATGGCCTTGTTTCAGATAATAAACAAATTGTATGCTGAATGGTTGAGTAAATTCTGATACAAAAATCTAACTACTTAACAACTCCTAATCTGGGGATATCAAATTGGCATAAAGCAGAGGCACAATTTGTGGAATGCCTCATGACGAGCTTAGCTTGTTTGGCGAAGGTTGTGATCAGTTCTCAGAAGAGAGCCAACAGAAAACAGTGTCTCACATTTAAAGAAACAAACACATCCGCAACACCACGCCAGGAACCAAAACTGGGGGTTAGGAAATCACACAGCTTTTTAATAATTGCAGGTCATCGTAGCAAATGGTCCGCCTGGTGTTTAGATCTTTACATTCTTTGATGTGAAATCTTTAAATAGACTATGTTTTGTAGAAAGTGAAATCTTTATAGGGTAGTCTTCTATCTTCTATAAAATATAATATCTTGAAAACTATACACTAACACAGAACTCTGCAACACCTGCTGGTGGTCAAGTGTTTAAAAAATGTGACCATTCCCACGAACGCATTTCCGCTACAGGTGTCTCTGGAGGAAGTCAAGTGGCCTTTCGTCATGCACAATAGTGACATCCACTGAGAACGGTATTGGTGAAGAGCAATGCTGAGGCTTTTTAATTCTATAACCTTATTCCTCCAACTTTCAATCAGCATTTATTTAACACTTCCATTGTGGGAGGGGCAATGAAAATGCAAAAGAGAAAGCAATTAATCCAGCCCAATTGAATTTATTTGGGACAATGGCTAAATTTTGCATTAAAATGTAAAAAATAAAAAAACAAATTTTGGGTTGCTTAAGACAGACTTAGATTATAAGTCTCCTGTTGTTTACTTCTTAATGGTTCTAAACATTGCATGTCATGTCCCTTTACGAAATTAAATTTTTATGCTTTAGAAATCTTCAATAATGACTTTCCCAAAACTTTTCAAGAACTTATTTCTTAAGTTTTATATTCCTTGCAAGAAAACAAAACAAAATAATGAAGAAAGAAGACTTCAAAGTATTTTAATTTTTGTCTACTCACTTCTTGTCTTAAATCACTTATGTATATATTTGAATATAAGAAAGTAAATCTCTTATTTTTTAAATTTATTGCCCTAAATGCTTAGTTTGCTAAAATAAAATATGAATCTGACCATAAATGACATACTCAAAAAACAAATCAACTAGAGCAAAAATTAAAAGTTAATTTGGTTATTTATAAAGTCTTTATGCTTGGGTTGCTTTATTTTTCTAGACTTAATAAAAATGCAAAATTACTTAATATTTACAAACATGTTTAAAATTTGTTATATTAATAGACCTATTTTCTATAGATAACACATTCTTAACAAGTAAGTTCTCTTTGAAGTTATTCTATTTTGTTCTTATTTCAACAGACTGGTCAATTTCCATTTTCCACCTGCTCTGAATTTAAGGAACTATTTAGACTCTAAGAACTACAGGTGGACAAAAACTAATAAATACAATGAATGCCCTTCCATTCAGTCCTCTTTCATAAAAGTGATGCAATCGCAAAAACAATGGTTTAACGCAATTATTTCCCTATTAACCCACATGCAAGGCTGAAAGAACATTTTTATATTATTTTGATACTATAATAAATGGGCTGATATAATGCTATTGGCTGCAACTCAGAGCATTTTCTACATTAAAGTTAGTAACCTGATGCTTATTCTTGCATTCTTTTTTTTAGTGAATTAAAATGAGAACAATGCCATTAGTCCCTAAAATTAAAATGTTATAGTTAGCAATAATGTAACAGACTCTCAATTACGTTTCTTGCAGATCAACAATAGATTCCCATGAACTATTTTCTGCATCTTTCTCTTTTAAAGGAAAACACAGTTTCTCACTCTGCAGAAGTATTAGATGCTTGCAGCATCCATGTCACTTGTAAGCATTCTGTGGTCAGACACCACTACATATCCTTCAAATGACATGGCCCAGCGGAGCCGGGACATGTCACCATGGAGCCGGCAGCCCGGTATCTCAGCCATCCACCAGGACAGAGCCGGCAGGCCTGGCTGGCACGCTGCAGCCAGAATAAGGTGGGAGATGGATTTTGCATTTTGAAAGTCAACCCTTGTAACATGGACACCTGGGACATACTTATTCGGTACAAGTGCATGGAGGGCCTCACAGATTATTTATTGGGTCAAATGTATAAAGCTCATTTCCAAAAATTACTCTTCGGACAAGCTAACTCTTGATTTGATTATCCTTCTGGCTTTCTGAATGTATACTAGATAGTACATTTAAAAAAAAAATATGGGCACATGTATATTCAGGACTACCGCTGTGCCGTGTGAACCTTGAATCTGTATGATGTAAGCTAAATTAAGTATGCTGCAGGAAGTTATAAAGCGTAAATAAGATAATGTTAATCAGCAGTGCCCACTGTGCGATGACACTTGCCCATCACACTAAGCTTACCATTTGGATCGTTAAATACGTGGAAAAACCCCTACAAAATAAATGTCCATTTCATCGTTTTATTCTCACGTGGGTGCTGTGTTCACTGCTTAAGCACAGAGGGCTTTGGAGTCTTGCTTGTGTTATTGTCTTCCTGTCATCTCTTGCTACCCCAGATTATTAGCTCATCTCTCACAAACACTAGAAAAATCAACTTACAAGGCTCCTGACGTCAAGGTTTCCCATGCCTCTCGTGGGCCTCCCCGAGCACTGGGGCTGCCTCAGCATCTGCGGAGAACACCTTCCATGTCTTAAAACTTCAGTCCCCTGTGTCTGGCAGAAACACCAGCCGGGAAGAACAAACCCTGAGTGCCCCCAGCCTGCTCGGAGTGGACATCCTTCTGAATGGGAAAGTGTCCTGATGGGCGCCTGCGTCCCGAGTTCCCTCATGGAACGCCTCGGTGGATCAGACTCGGGGAGCCTGGCATCGGGGATCCTGATGTTTCATCACAGGAAACAGAACAGATACTGCTGCCACTTTTCGAAAAAAAGAGGCAGCGTCTCTAGTCTGGGGCTCATTAGAAAGGGTTTACAATAGGAGCCGGTAAAAAATGACTGTCAGATCCTACCGGGTATTTTTTTTGTTTGTTTTTGTTTGTTTTCATCTCAGCAGCACTGTACAAAGGCATCCTTTCTCTCTCCCCTTGGACACGAAATCCGATTGGCAATACACACCAGGGACAGATTGCAGAGAGCAGAACCGCCTCATCAACTCCCCGGGCTCTCCGTGGCTCCTGGGCAGCACACAGACCGGCCAGGGCCAGGTGACTGCCTACCTCTCCATCCTCAACTACCTCCCCTTTGAGACAGGGGCCACTGGGCAAGATCCACCGACACCCTGAAACCTCTGGCTTTGCCCTCCTTTGAAAGTGATAGGGAAAGGCTCCCCACAAGACAGAAAAGTTTGCCTGGGCCAGGGATGCCTGCGTTTCCAGGAGCCACCCTCACAGACACAGCACCTGGGGGCTCCCCCCTCCTCAGGGAGCAACCCCAAGGCGCTCAACACCAGGAACCCCCCCTGAGCATCTGATGAAAGAAGGCTAGCTTCCCTCCCCAGCTGCCAGGTGCTTCCCATGGCCCAGGGCCGGGGCGAGGCTGAGGTGCAGCCAGGAGGGAACTTCTGGTCCAGGAGAATCCACTCCCTTTGATTTGGGTCCAGGACGGATGGAGATGGATGGAGAGGGCTGCAAGGCTGCGCTCTCACTGCCCTGGCCTTGGCCCCACCTGCCTGCCCATTTGGGTCCATGAGCCCCAGCTTTCCCGCTCTGGGGGTGTGCGGAGGACCTGGCCACCCGGAGGCTGCGGAGGCTGTTCCAGGCCCGCCCCTGTGGACCTTCTAGGCACCCTGAAGTCAACTTTCCCCGCCGCCTTCTGGATTGTTTGTTTGCTCTGTTTGCAGCCTGCCTGAGCCCAGCGCACCCGTCTCCCTACCCCTCTCCTCTTCTCCCCCCTCCCCCGCCTCCAGCTCTCCCCTCTGCCGCCTACCTGCTGGCCAGGCTCTGCCGGCAGTGCTGCCGGAAGGGCATCAGGTGGTAGTTCATGGCGTCCAGCAGCAGCTTCTGGCAGACGGGGTCGCTGCGCATGAAGTCCACCGGCTGCACGCGCTCCACCAGCTCGGGCGCGGGGATGAGCGCGAAGCGGAGGCGCTTCATGAGGTCGGGCGCGTGCGGCATGCGGGCCTCGCGGTCGTGCTCCAGCCACAGCACGGCCATCTGGAAGAGCGCCAGCTCCGACTCCACGGGCGGCGGCAGCGCGTCCAGCAGGGCGCGCAGCTCCTCGAAGTTGAGCAGCAGCACGTCCTCCACCAGGTACTTGTTGGCCAGCTTCTTGGTCTCCTCCAGGCCGTGCAGCGCGGCGATGCGGCACACCTGCTTGTAGTTCTGCACCGAGATCTGGTCGTTGAGGAACTGCACGCAGAGCCTGGTGACCTGCGGGATGTGCAGGATCTTGCTCACCGACAGCACCTCCTCCGCCGTGTCCAGGGACAGGGTCACGTTGGCCGTGTAGAGGTACTCGAGCACCAGGCGCAGCCCGACGGACGAGCAGCCCTGCAGCACCAGGTTGTTGATGGCCCGCGGGCCGGCCAGCAGCTTGTCGTCGGGCGAGGACGCGGGCGTCCCGGGCTCCTCCTGCGGCGGTGGCGGCGGCGGCTGCTGCGGCGGCTGCGGCGGGTCCTTGGGGGCCCCCGGGCCGTCCTGGCCGACGCCCCCTCCCCCGAGAGGCGGGGGGCTGGAGAAGAGCGAGCGGAAGTACTGCGAGCAGGAGGCCAGCACGGCCTTGTGGCAGTGGAACTGCTGGCCCTGCGCCGTCAGGGTCACGTCGCAGAACAGCTGCTTCCTCCACAGCAGGTTGAGGCCGTGCAGCAGGTTGTCGCTGTGGCTGGGGTCGAAGGTGGAGGTCCGGTCCCCGGATCTGGACATGGCGAGCGGGCTGGGCGCACCTGGCTTTAAACCCTCCTCCAGCCTGGCAGTCAGGGGCGGGGGCGGGGGCGGGAGAGGCGCGGGGAGCGGAGGGGTGGGGTGGGGTGTGGCGGGGTGGGGTGGGGAAGGGTGCGGAGGGGAGGGGAGGAGAGGGGAGGGCGAAAAAACAGCGATCAGGGCTCCGCCCGGCTCCTGCCCGGCGCGCCTCGGACCCCAACTCTCGGGGGGACTCGTGAGCGCCGCCCCAAGGTCCCCAAGGCGCGGGGTCCGGGCGCCAGTCAGCTCCTGCCCCTCCCTGGTCCGCTGCCCCCGCGCGAGGCCGCTCACTGGCCTACACCCGCCCCGGCCGGGCGCCTCGGGGGCCGGGGTCCATGCCGGGCAGGGCGCGGGGAAAGCCGGGGGTGGGGGGCCCGGAGGGGGAGCCCCCAGGGCGCAGGGGCCGCCGACGGAGCTTCCAGGTCAGCGTGTGCCGGACGCTCTGTCTCGCAGTTGGTTCCCCCCCTTTTTTTAGGGGGGCAGGGGCAGGGGGAGGCGGGAAGGGACTCCGACCAGCGTGCGGGTGGGCGAGGAGTCTTCGCCTTCCAAAGCGGGGAGCCCTCCCGGCGATCCGTGCCGCCCCGAGAAACTCCGGGGCGCATGGTGCGGGGAGCAGGGGCGGCCCGTTCTCCTCCCGGAAAGTGCGGGGCGGGGCGCGGGGTCGGCGCGGGGGACGCGCACAGCGGGGGCTGCCCTCAATCCCGGCCCCCGGCCCCCGGCCCGCAGCCTCCCGCCCCGCACCCCGGGCTTCCCCGGGCCGCTCAGCTGTCCCGATCGCCCAGAGGAGCCCCCCACCTGGCAGGAGACCCCCGCCGGCCCCCCACCCCGGCCCCTCCTCCGCCCCCCGCAGCTCAAGGCTCGGAAGTTCCTAAGGGGTGTCCCCCTTCCCCGCGGGGCAGCACCGGGGAGGGGGAGGAGGGGGAGAAGAGGGAAGGGGAAGAGAGGGAGGAAGTGGGGTGACTGGGGTGGGTGTAGAACCAGAACCAGGAGGCATGGGGGTGGGCAATGACCCCCTTCCGGGACCCCGGACGAGAGGGCTTTAACTCCAGCAACTGAGCGAAGTTCAAGGGAACCGGCAGGTGTGGGGGAGGGGCGGGGGCTGGGCAAAGGGGGGGTGGGGGGGCGTCGTGCCTCTCAGAGGGGTCTCTGCCTACCACCCCCCTCGGCGCCACAGCCTCGGGTCCCCTTCGAGCCCCCCCCCCACATGCACCCCCCCAGCGCCCCCTCCAACACACACACACTGGGGGGGGGGACCCCACTTCCCCGGCCCTGGGATGACTTCTGCAAAGTCTGAGCCTCCCGCAGCCGGGCCGAGGCAGGCAGGGGGGGGCGGCTAGGCGGATCGATACGCCGGGTCCTTAACCTGTAATTGCACCTTCCAGGGCTGAGCGGAAGGAAAGAAGGGGACCCTCTCTGACCCCACCTCCTCCCGCGCCCGCCCGCTGCCCACGGGGACCTCAGCCTCCTCCGCCTCCGCCGCCGCCCCGGCCCCGGCTCCGCGGGACCCGCGGGACCGGCCCCTTCCACTGCGGCTCAGGCGCCGCCCGCCAGGCGCCCGGCGCGGTCCCGGATCGCCGGCTTCCCGCTGGAACCGGACTGGGCTCCTGGGCAGGCACTTCGCCATCCCGTTCCAGAGGGACCCTAGCCCCCTCTCCCCGGAGCTCGCTCCCCCCCCCCGTACCCCCTCACACTCGCCCCCACAGCGTTGGCTCCCCTGACCAGCCCCCCAGAACCTCCTGTGTAAGTGGACCTGGTCAGACCTCTCTCCTCTCTCCGCTTCGTCGTCTCTCCTCCCTCTCCCCCCCATCTTTTGCTGTTCCCCTTCTGCTTCTCCCTCGCCTGCTCCTTCCCCCCCCCCCCCTCGTCTGCTTATTTCTTGCAATACTTTTCATCTTTATGAGCGCTGGCCACACAACTACCCGCCCCCCGCCCCCAAACTCCCTCCCCACCCCTTCCCCTGCCAACAACCCCAAAGACAGCCACACACAGAGCCAGGCACAGACAGACACAGGCCAGAACTTACCTGCTTTCCACCAGCTGCAAAGTCAAGGCTCACTTAAGCTTCCCCCCCAAAAAAAATCAATTGTCCTTCCTTTTTAAAGGTTTGCTCTCTCCTTGGGAGGGGAGAAACCCTTCTGCCTCCCAACTCCAGGCCGTCACTCTTTACAATTTATTTTGTCGTACATCATTTGATCACCATGAATTAGCAACAGCAAGAAAATGTAGGAGAGGGAGAAAAGAGAGAAAGAGAGAGGGAGAGAAGGAGAGAGGGAGAGAGGGAGAGAGAAGGAGAGGGGGAGAGAGAGAGAGAGGGTGCAGAGCTTTCTGCAAGAGAAGAAGAAGAAAAAATGTACGTGTGACAAATTATGCTACCAAGAAACAACACATCATTATCCTTGGGCCTGGGGCTCAGTGAGTCGTAACGAGAGTAATAGGAAATCCACGGTTGGGGAGAGAAACGGTCGTGCTTGGCCGGTGGAGAGAGACCATACAGGGGGATGGATGCTGGAGAGACTCGCAAAATTATGGCTCAAGGCTATTGTAAAAATTGTCGAGCGTAAATGACTGCGATTTCAAACATCTTTGGAAGAAAGAAGGGGGGAAAAGCGGGCCCCCCTCCCTCCCTCCCTCTCCCTCTCTTTCTCTCTCTCTCCCTCTCTCTATAAAGAACCGTCAAGTTTTAGTGCGCATTGCTAATTAGTCAATTTCTCTCTGCCTTCACAGGCTGGCGACTTCGCTGCTGAGCTGAAACTGCTAATTTCTGTGACCAGCTTTTTTCTTAGCTGTGATCTGGATGAATGAGTAGCTGTCTCACAGAGATGACAAAAATAAACTCTAATCCCCCCCAAAATTTCCACCACATCTTTCTCATGCATAGATTTATGATCTTCAAGCGCTCCGTGCAATATGCAAACTTTTTTTTTGTGTATCCGTATGTAAGCTGTTGTCTCCAGATTTCACTGTAGTGGTAGGCTGCTAGCCACCCCTCTTCCCCCCCCCCCCCCCCCAACCCACACACCATGAAATGCAGAAACTGCCTGGCTCAGAGGGTGCCAAGGTGCCACTTGACAATGTCTCCCATATTTGGGGTGTGAGTCTGAAGACACTGGCCCTTGCCTGAGGGGGGTGGGGGATGGGAGGCAGCACTGGCTCCCATTTGTTTCTCTGCACCATCCAAGCCCTGGGAGCTCCTGGGGAAACATTTCCTCCATCGTTTTGTGTGATTCAACAACCCTCTCTGAACTTTGCTGTCAGCTCCACAGATAAGGGTTCAGAAGGCACATTTTAAAAAATTATTATTGGAAGATTATCTTAGTGTCAGATTTGTCTTCCCATTAGGAGTCTTTTGATTTACAGGGGCTGGAACCAAGCCCTAGGAAACTCAGCTGCAATTTCACAAAGGTAACCTTTCAACTCGAGTTCATCTGATAAATAAGGTCAACCGCAGAGGGCTCACATTCCTGACCCTGCTTAGCATGCAGAGCAACCCCAGCGGGAGTCCCAAGCCCAGCTGGGCCAGAGGCTCCTGTGCACCTGGGTGGAAGACAGGCTCCCTGCTCCCTAGACTTCCCCCTTATGTTTATGGCGCTACATTTTGGCTGTCAATGGGGGTTGGAGGTGTCCAAGAAAGAAAGAAAGAAAGAAAGAAAAAAAAGCAGAAACAGGAAGGTACGCCCTTGAACAAAATAAACATGGAAGAAAGCTAGACACAAGTAATGTGGAGTTCTGTTTGCTATGAAATATTTGAGCATAGCTCGTTCTAAGTCATATGTGCTCTGATTAGTAAACATATTGAAATACTCATCAGGGCACCCCGAAAGGCCAGCTTTTCACCTTCCCCTGTGGTTTGTGAGTGATGGAAAGTCACCTGCTGAAGGGCGGGGAGAACTGAGATTCTTTGGTTCAGAACCAGGGAATTCCCCATTGAGAATGGTAGGCCTTGACATGCGTATGGGATATTTCCTCTTATGGAAATGATCCTTCTGAAGCATTTCCCCCTCACAAAGGCCTTTTTCTATGAAGTCCTAGATTATCTGAGTGTCAGACTTCTTGATTCAGATCTTCCTGAGATGCTACATCCTCATATTCATATCGACAGTAGAAAGGTCCCAATATATGGTGAAATAAAAAAAGGGATTTTTTGTTTGTTTGTTTGTATAGACCAAGTCTACAGGCTCCACTCTTTGTTTTGATTTTTCTTTTTTGAAGTTCCCTTATGCAGGTCTTAAATAGGAAGATTGTGTAACTATAATAGAGCACCGTTTGGGGGTTCCGGTTCATCAGCAATTAAAGCTACCAAGTATGTGGAAGGAATGGCACCACATTCTCACAAACGCAAAGCACAGTCTGTATTGTATGCTTTGAGGTTGATCTTGTATGAGCTTCCAATGAAGTATTTGGAACTAAATCCAAAGGGGGATGAGAGATTTGATCTCTTAAATTATCACCATCTTTTCATAGTAAAGAATTTAGGTATGTTTTGTAGACTTCAAAATGTCCCAGTTTTGAATTTTTTTTTTCTAATAGGATATCTCAAACACTAATTAAGACTACTAGGATCTTTGTTGTTTCCAAATAATATAAAAAAATCCCATTTCAAAAAAATGTGACTACCTATCCATTGAATGCTTATTTAACAACCTCACAGGGATGAGAAGGGGCCCTGGGCCTTGCAATTCCAAAACAGCTGCTGGAATGAAGTGTCTGGACTGTTTTTTCTGGGGTTTAAAGTTGCACTTTTGAGGTTGTTTAAAATTCCAGAAAAAAAATTACAGCTATGGCCATGTTGAAAACAATGAAAGAAAAATGGATAGTTGAAAAAAAAAAAATCTCTACATAAACGGTGCATAAACTAGCATATATGTCACGTAAATCTCACACACGTCCAACATCTCGCACTGGTTTTGACCGAAATTATTGCAGAACTTACAAACTACATGCACTGTTTACAATAATAAATCCCA